CAGGGAGTACAGTACAAGTGCGTGAAGCGTGGTTAGAAACGTAAATATTGCGTGGCATGATGGGATATACTATTGCCTCGCTGACCTCAAACGAGTATTTCCGAGGTAAGTGTTTACACGGTTAGACAAGATAAGTTTGTGCTCGAATGTGGGGACCCCCCCGTGGTGTAAAGCCGTGCGTTTACCTGTCATATACACGGAATTTAATAGGCGTGTATGACTCGAACGCACCCTTATGAATAAACTATCCACCAATACGAACAACTGCAAAATAAGCCTACTGTGCCGGTACATATATTACAACTGATTCCACTTTAACAGCAATTTAAGAATCATATCATTTTAGAGCTGTTGTAACTGTTTTCGATTCTAGTTTTAAAACTGTATATCTTGGCTGTAAACAAAAACATGATCAATTACCTTTCCTCTTCATAGTCTAAGAAAATGAGATAACATTTTACTTGTCCCAGCAAAATGTATGGAAATGTTCCTTCCATCATTTTAATCTACATTTATTCAAACAATTACAAAATGACAATAAAACAATATTGTATGTTGTATCTTGTATTTTCATGAAATAACTATGATTAATGATGAATTCCAACGTGAAAGAAAAAAAAATCATAATTACACGGATACTGTAGGTAATAAGCCTATAGCATTTTAATGATACAACACAGAGATATGTGACAATACAAGCCCAAGAGATGTGCAATAATACAATCCCAAGTCCTAAGAGGACATAAAGAGTATTTACAATTATTAAAAACCATATATTGGTTTGAAAATGTATAAACAAGGCTTATTTAAACCTGGTAACAGTTAAATTTCACTGTTCCCTGGTTAAACATCAAGATGAGTTAAACACAATTTATAATAATAAACAGAGAAGATAAATGAATGGGAGGTTTGGAATATTTTCGATATTTCAATATTAAAATATTTATTAACAACATTACTGTGTGCTCAAAAATAATTTCAAACATCTGATGAACCAAGTTTTAAAGTTTAAAAAATAAAGTTTCACTACTTACAAGGGGAACCATGTTTAATATTATATTATAAAATTAAAACTAGAGAAGAGCGCTTTACAAGATGACCAATGCTTTACGCAACAAAAATCAACTTTTATACTGCATTATTTCCAAATATTTTATTTCAATATATTATCCAACACGATACCAACAAGAATGAGAAAACCTTAACAAAATCGATATAAGGCCTTCGTTCGTTGTAAAACACATACAAAAAAAAAAAATCAAAAAAAAATCACGGAAACTTTGTAAAATTGACAAAAGGATTGAAAATAATTTAGGCTAAAACAAATATACAGTATACATTGAATGTAAGTGTAAAACATTGTAGTAAAAGGTTAAATAGTTATCTGTGTTTAAAGGTTTTATTAATTATAGTCGCACATTTAGAATAATTGCATCAGTTATCAAAGGTACGGAAAGCAAACTTTGAATAACTAACAGGCCTATTTCAAAATATTTCAGAATGAAAAATCATTCCCACATCAGCTATCTCTATGGTCGGCCACGCTCATCTTATTAATATTTTATATTATTTAAAATTAAGAACGAATTTTTTAATTCAAACGTAAAAGAACAATAATCTGCGAGTGTGAAAAAATAAGTGGCCCAACCGGGATTCGAACCCCGGCACCTTCTGCTGTATATTCAGACGCCTTAATGAACTAGGCCATTGAGGCTTTGTTGGGAATTTAAATCCGAATTTAAAACCTAATTCGTTTACACTCATGCGCATGCGTATTGGACAGTATATACATGATGTGCAGGGTCCACAAGACTTTAGAGCTCAATTCACAAATAACGGTCAGTTATGAACTTGGTAGGTAGGTCGGAACTGTCCTTAAGCTTTGGATGTTATAAAAAGAATTTGAAATAAATAAGAACTGAAGATGGTTAGATGGCCTGCCAAAATCAGATGGTCACAACAACAATTATATATAAACCGTTGAGGCAGTGCATGTCTAATAGGAAGTAATGATAGTGTGTTCAAGTTCAACAATGTCGTGGCAAATTAGCCTATAATGGAACATCATTAAAGCAGATTTCTAGGCAAGCAGCGATCACAATAACATTGTTTGATATGAAAAACCTTGAAAACATTAAATTTACTGTTTCTGTAGAGTTTATAACAATGAAATTCAACTGGGGTGGATTTAAGGGGACTCAGTCGACCGGGCTCTTTTGCACTTTTTTGAAACAAAAAAAAAAAAATGGAAAAAAGAGAATAACATTCAATTTAAACTCTGGAAATGCAAATTCGGCCATCAAACGGCGTAATAGAGATAAAATGTTATGCCTCAGACTTAATCATGGTGGGGATGAGCTGCGGTCTGGGCCCTTAATTTGTTAAAGTCATTTCTCTGAATTCCTAGGTGTAGCACTGTTCAGTATTCAATTAGAGCAGAAAAAGGTTGTTGCTCGCTAAGTAACTCAGACGTATACATTTTTGCATAAACATTTACATTGGTGGTCATTAACATAGATATTGATATTTGAAGTAAAATAGAAACACAAAACTAATTTAAAATTTTTAATTGGGCCATTATATACTGTGATACAAACTTTTCATTTCGAACAAAGTCTACTACCATTACCTTATATAAATCCCATTAACCAAGGAATGTGTTTCCTTCATTGGTAACCATCAGTATCATTTCTTTCGCTCCAAAAACTTAAATGAACGCTTTTGCTACGTCATCAGTCCTGTCTAAAAAATAAATAAGTAAAAATAAATAAATAAATAAATTTAAAAAAAAAAGAAAAAAAAAAAGACCCAAAAAATAGTCTTTTAGTTTAATCATGTTTTAGTAGCGTGTAAACCAACTTTAAATACATTGTCAGGTGATTAAACAGACAAGAAGATTATGTTTTTCAAGCATATGGTTGAAGCATTTAGCTGTTGGAATTACTAACTCTGTGTCAGTATTATCGTCATGCACACACCAAGCTACACTAATGAATACACCAAATTTGGAGAGAGTTAAACATTAAGCCCCAAGCTACAGTTTCTTGTTGCACATAATTAAATAAAATAATAATGCCAAGTTATTTGAGAAACTGCCAAATTATTAATTTAAATATGACTGGGTTTAAAAATGTCTAAAACATTTCAACCATACCATCATCAGAGTTTCACAAAGTATGTGTACTAAACTGTGTTAAAGCAGTCTTTCCTTAGTAGGTTTGGTTAGTAGTTTTGGTTCGTTTGCAGGTTTAATACCTGAGACATAAACTACCTTGTACGTTGTAATAACGTTGGATTTTGTTTTTCAAATCATTTATTTTTGTGAAACTGTTTCAACAATAAAACAATTGTATTTATAACGTTTTTTTTTTCTCCTTTTCAATGATTTGCCTTGTTTAGATTGACATTCATGTATTGATTTTCCCCTATTTTGTTAATGTTTACCCGGTTTTTTTTTTTTTTTTTTTTTTGAAAATTCGATTGTTTTTCTTATTTTTAGGCAACCATGACTTGAAGTTCTTAAACTTATTTTGGTCGCCTTCCATACAATTCTGTAACTATAATTTATATGAACTGTATTTTTTAAATATAATTATTGTACTTTCTATTGATTATTTCTTTTGTATTGTGTGCAGAAACAATAAAACAAACAAACAAACGAACAAAAAGTTATTTCAGACATATAACGCTGCAAAAATTGCTGTATCTTATTTTAAACCACGAAATGTTCGCGAATGATGTAAAAACGTTTTGTGTTTGCTGGGAAGTGCCCGAAATTACGATAATTTAAGAATCACCGGTCGTTTTTCAATAAATTGAAATGCCTTTGTATTTTCCTCTCCTATTACAAGCTTCTCATTTACAAACCTTGTGTCAACGCGTGATGGGCACAATACTTTGATATTGATGTTATTATCTTTACATTGCATCTGCTCCTGTCAAACAAACGAATGTTTTAATTAGCTTTGTTTACTGAGTAATATAGATTCATATTGGAGAATATTTTAGACCAGTAAAGTTTATATAGTTATCGTTAGCGTTACCCCAGTTATCGTTACAGGAACAGCAAAAAAAGTAAAAAAAGTTACAGCAATAAAAGCATATTATATTATATTAACAATCATCATTATCCTCATCATCTTTACCGTCATCATCATCATCCTCATCTTCGTCATAATCATCATTATCGTCATCGTCATCATCATCATCATCACCACCACCACCACCACCACCATTGCCATCATTAGCAGCAAAAGCAGTGGTACGTGAGGAGTACAGGCACTGCATTGGATGTATACAGAATAGTCAAGTATAACACATCGTTACCTGTATCGAAACAGAAATAGCACGAACACCGTGTTTTGTAGCACTGTAAGCTGCCAAATAAGGATAGCACTTTAAACCTGGAAATATATAATCATATTGAAGTCATCTTTAATTGTGAAAACAATTATACGTTGATTACAACAAACACGTCTGTTTATAACGCTCTATAGTAAGAAAATATAAACAGAGATATTTCACCCTACACGTTTTCCAGTTTTGTATTTTTAAAAAGTGTACGCATATTGATCTTGAATGCGCATGGAAGAAATGTATAAAACGTCTACTTTTATATCGATATTGATTTCCCGTGGGTTACATCAGTAGGCCTAACTTCATAAAATGAACTACACAAAGTTTGAAACAGGATTAATAACGTACCTGCGGCTTTTCCACCATTTCTACTATGCTTTGTTTCCATCATCTCGATTGTATGTGTTCTATGTATCACTACTTTCTACGTTTAAAATTGATACTGTTTATGTATGAAAACTACAAATACCAGTTACGGTAGTACAGTATATAATACAAAGACAATTAAAAGGCAGCACTCTGAGACTAACTTAGATGTTGGTTATTCAACACGAGCTTTCGCTGGTAGTCAATGCCAGCTTCATTAGGTAAAGAAAAACAATGTTTATCACACACCTGATGAAGCTGGCATTGACTGCCAGCGAAAGTTCGTGTTGAATAAATAACATTTAAGTTAGTCTCAGGGTGCTGCCTTTTAATTTTCTTTGTATATTGTTTAGACTAACACGGCTTCATTACCACTTTTATCATTTTGGTAGTATATAATGCGAGTTGTTAGGCTTTACGAGCGAAGTAATTATATAACATGGGATACTCGAAAACTTACCAAGTTTAAGTCAACCATAAGCGACCAATTAACCCCGTTCTATTGCCCTGCAATATTGCAGACAATATCAAGTTGGCCTTGGTCTGCGCAAAAGCATCTATTAAAAAAAAAAGAAAAAAAAAAGGATACACTAAGACTGTAAAACAAATTCTAACACGTAGTAATTATGGGCGCAATAACCATAATTTGTATACGTTTTTCTACCATCCAAATGGTGTGAGGTGAGAAAGAGTCCCAAGTTGTAGAAATCCAATTTCTGGAGAACCTGTCTTTCAGACAGAGGTGTGTGTCCCGTGTAGCCTACTTGCTAAAACGCGTGTACGCGCGTATGCCATGTTTACTATGAAGCAAAACAATGTTACGACTACCAAGAATGTTTTGACAAATCCTTCTTGTTATCTGCATTAGAATGTAGCTTAAATGTATTCAAATCTTGGAGAAATCTAAATTTTCTTGAAATCGAGTTTTCTTGAGATCGAGAAGCCAATATACCTGCAACCTCCAGGGAAGCTCAGAGACTCCAGGGAATCATGGAGACACCATGCGTTCCTGGAGACTCCAGGCATTACTGAAGACTGCAGGCAATCCTGAGAGTCTGCAGGCAATCCTGAAGACTGCAGGCAACCCTGGATACTCCAGGCAATCCTGGAGACTACAGGCAATTCTGGAGACTACAGGCAATCCTGGAGACTACAAGCAATCCTGGAGACTACAGGCAATCCTGGAGACTCCAGGCAAATCTGGAGACTTTGGAGATTTCTGTGGGGGTGCGGCGAGTTGGGAAGAAGTTGAACATGTAAGTTTATGTATTCCCATTAACTTTGCTTATTTACTGATAATGTACGATGACCTGAATACAATACAAAACAAAAGTCAATACAATTTTACCTTTCAAAGATTTTTGTGATGTCACGTTTCAAATTATGAACAGCGCCTTCTCAGTTCCAAACCTGTTTTTTATCTTCAGTTTCTGTCAGTTTTAATTCATTGACATCTAATATAGACACACCCTAAATAAAGACAAAAATATATTTTTTCAAACCTTTTGTTCCTTAGTAGAGAGAATACACATTTGTTATTATGATAGCCCTGGTAGTCATAGTGTAACTAATGATTGAAAATAAAAAAACCCTATTATAATTTATAAATCTGTGAATATATGCAACATATATATAATTATATATATATATATATATATATATATATATATGAATATATATATGAATATATATATATAAGTATATATATATATATATATATATATTTAAAGGTCCATAAGTACTCGTTACCAATTGTTTTCAAATAAATTGAGGTAATCTTCACCGTATCTGTATTATATATAGGCCTATAATACAGAAAATAGATAAATTGTTGTATGAAAAATAGTGTTTCAAAAAACCTACAACCTCTCGCTATCATGACGATTATCATATTAATAGACCACGGAGACTTATAAGTATACGCAGACCTCCTCAGCACTTTTTCTAACTGAACTGTCTAAAAAACTTACACATAAGGCTTAAAAAATATATGTGTTGGAAAGTAGCCAGTGATCGATTTTTGACGCAATTTATTCTATTTATGGCCTATATCATCTTGCTCATTTTCAAATCACCCCATGCACATTATCCAGGGTTTGCATTTTTGTTTTACTTTATAGAAAATATATTCATTGAACTTTTATTATTTTGTTTTCTCTCACAGGCCAAATTAAATTGCCTCGCGGGCCAAATTTGGCATGCGGGCCGTCTATTAAGAACCAGAGCTTTAAGCACAATCACATTGTACTCTGATGATGCACTTGACATAAACAAAATTTTAGATATTTTCATGGGTTCTACTGAGTCATAAGACGAATTAGTATTTTTTGGGGGAAAATTTCTTTTCTCCCTTCATCAAAAGGGCATTTTCCCGATTCCCTGGAAGCAAACACATTTAATCTTTGGTTTTTTTTTTTTTTTTTTTTTTTTTTTTTTTTTTTTTTTTAAAATACCTTTTCCCCTTTAAACCTTTTTTCTTGGGTTTTTTTTTTTTTTTTTTTTTTTTTTTTTTTTTTTTTTGCAAATACCATATTCCCTTTTAGTACTGTTCGCTTCTCCAAAGTAGTTCCGAATACTCCATACACTAATCCTTTGTTCAGTCACTGTGTGGCTAATTTGAACTTGAATATAATGCACATAGAAGTAGGGATATGTGACGCCCTCTATATTTATTAATATGATTAACTTATCGCGCTTACTCAGAAGTTTCTGAGGAAATTCAGACTCAACGCCATGGACGAAAGCATCTAGATGCATCTAAGTGATGCCGCTAGACGAAAACATGATGTACTGGCCACATGATTGGACTGGACTTGAAACGTACTCAAATAGAGAATTCTTTATCTAAAGATAGAACTTATCGAGTCGATCCTAGCCTAGTCGAGCCTAATATCGAATCGAGTCCAACTGTCAAAATGCATGGAAACTTTTGGCTGAGATTTCTGGAGATATATCTTCTTGTTCAAACTTGCAACGCGTATTACTTTTCAATAAATCATAATAACAACAACATAGAAGGTGCTGGGGTCTGTGGATGGTAAGTAATTTTATCAATTTATTATAGAGTACATAGGCACACATCGGCATAATTATACACTCATAAATACAATACATACAAATATACCACATTTTGCTATGTCATATATTCATGTATTTTTTAAGCTTCATGACAAAAACCTAGATTACAGTATTGGCAATATGTTGTTATTTTTATGTTAATATAAATATTAATTTTAATCATTTCTATTAGTCAACTTTACATTGCCATTTATAAATAAAACATTTCTATTTCAAAATTCACTAATTAAGTGTTACAAAATCACAAAATAATTGTTTTATATCATCGAATTTACAGCAAATAAGTCTCCATTTAAATAAGCAAACAGAAAAAAAAATACTTTACAGAAGATAAAAATATTAAAAAATTGTTATTGCAACCATGATTAATGCTTGTCCATTTGTCGCAAAAGTTTCCATCGTCGCATACAATTCAGAATGAGTGAACTCTAATCTTATTATTTAAGGTCATGATAATAAATCAACCAAGTAGATTACTCAGTACTGGTAACAGAGAGGTTTCGGTGGTTCAGTACGTCTTGTATGTGTATATACCGTCACTCCATTAAGCTACAGCTTAACTACCACACACGCCACCGTACTTTAACGGTGTACACATCTTGAATTTACAGACCGTGCTATTAAGTACCGTACATTGTGTTTTTTTTTTTAAAGTACGTGTGCGAAATATATGCGCACGCAGACGTTATGTTCAAGCAAAATAATTTGGCGCGAAGTATTTCTATTAATATTATCTGGGTATTGATTTGTTGGCACATTCCCAGAATGCAGTGCGTGTGTACCTGCTGTAACCAAGGAATACGGATACATACACACATTAAATACTCACAAACTCTACAGGTGTAACGCAGCTTTACCTAAAATATGAACATAGGCAAGTTTAGGAAATTAGATACTTATTTTTTCATTACTGATGCATTTCATCTAATGCATTTATTACACATTTAATCATGTCCACTCAATTTACATAGTTATGTAATACAGTAGGAAATTAGTAAAGTAAATGCTTTCGTGATAACATAATTCAATTTTGTTTTCGGCATCTTAAAATAACGTAAACGTTTCCACTTTTAGTGTTAATATTAGGAATGAATTTAAATTTATTGTAAACAGTATCGTGTTCACACGTCCAATGCATATGAGCAGTTTCAAATATACAAAGCTTACAATTTGGAGCTCCAAGTTTTTCTTTATTTTCGGAAGGAAATTAGTGTAACAGGAGATATCGCATCGACAAGGCCATGAGTAACAGGAAGTGAGGCAATGCTTTGAGATCTCTGATGTAGACTTATATTGAAGTTGGAAGTGTGTTAGGGTACTAACATCCGAGTGTTTCCCAAAACAGCTTATTATAGGTTGCAAAGCCCGCGTATGGGCATGCGCAGACCACCAAGAGGTTAATGTGTCCGAATTCAAATAAAAAAATGTTACGCTGATGCCTAATTGTTTAGACTTGATAAAAATGTTTCAATAAACTACTGTACGTTCTTCAGTGACTTGCTGTTTTTCTGTTAGTCTTTCTTCAACAAATTTCTTTACTGTATTTAATTTGAATGTAATAAGGATTTTTATAACTGGGGTAATTCAAAGTCCTTGAAAATGTCCTAAAGCATACACACCAAGTAAAAGCGCATTAAAGTTGTAAAAGAACGTTAATAGTTGACACAAGAGCGCTTTACCCTGGAAATTGTAAATATTAAAAAACACCATCATTGTGGCTCTTTAAATAATTAGAACTAATCGCAATATAGACTCTCATAAAATGTTGAAAAACGTGTGTAAGAATGTTTAATTAACTTGTTATTATAGACAAATATAATTTAGAAAAACTAAACCGATATATTTTTAAATATTGTTAGGCCTAGCTATCATTATTAAGATTACAGTTACAACAGACCGTCGGTTATAAACGAGAGAGGTTTTGTCACTATCTTCTCAGGTGAAATACATCCCAACGTAATCTAGTTTTTAGAAGTGTCAAAATATAAAAACACTAAAGTCCCTTTGTAATCTGAACTGCGCATGATCATTGCGATATTCAATAACCTAACTTCAATATTTGTTAATAAATACAATTGATAAAATCAATCAACATTATAGGCCCTGCGCATATTTGTCTGATTTGACCTTCGATATAGACATGCGCAGTTGAAACTACAAAATGACTGACTTTAGAATAATGTAAACAATTTAAATCGTGTTTTGCAGATACACCCGATCCTTGTCATTATCTTAGCTTAATAAAATTTGCTTTGGGCTACATAAAGGAATGTTTTGATTTTGACTGACATGGGTCTATAGTAAATAATTTTCCATAGACCTAAGTTCAAGTTTGGATGTGTGAGCGAGCCAGTATATACAAAAAGTCTTCTGCATATAGCCCATGCAACCTAACGTTATTATGTATGTTATATAGAAGTTAAACATTGTAATTAATTTCGTTAACTGTTAATTGATACAACTATACAAACTCATATCAGATTAACATAGACCACGTTGTATGATATCATTTCATATAGACGAACAGTTAAAAAAATAAATGAGGCTTTATTGGTACATGTTTCAAATTGTTACCCAGGTAAAAATGTACTTGCTAAAATATATACTAAAAGATGTGATTGTGATTTGTATAGGTTTGTAGCCTATATCATTATGTTTAACATGGATCTGTAATGTTGTGGTTAAAACGTTAAAAGCCCCTAATCTTCAAATTCCAGTCAAAAAAAAAAAAAAAAACACCCCAAAAAAAAAAAAATTAAAAAAAAAAAAAAAAAAAAAAAAAAAAAAAAAAAAAAAAGAATTTACCGTTTGTTTGTTTTGTCTTTTTGGGACGCTCCGAGACAAGTTTTTCACTTCTAGAAGGATCCAAGATAATAATGATTTTTTCTATTTTTTTTTCTCATCAATTGAACGTGACAGCTAATGGCGATGATTAAACCAGTCCGCTATCGTTTTGTTTAAACTAACGCGGTATTAAAACAATTAATTTTACACATTATAAATTTCATTTTAGTGAATTCACGTGCGAAGCGTTTCAGGGCAGCGGTGCAACCATGTGTTACATAATATATCGAGAAGACGGTATGTGGCGAACGGAAGACCACCAACTCGTTAACGAAAGGTTTTTAGAACAGAGAGAATGTATTACTGGTACGTTGAAATAAATACATTAGATGTTTCTAACCTTCAATATGTTTTGATAATGGGCAATTATATAGCGTCCTTTCTTTTCTTTGCAACAAAGTGCTTTATTATCGTAATCATGTGTAGAACAAGTTTGGAACATTCAATATAAGAAAGAAACCAGCAAACAGAATGACCAGACTTAAAAAAAAAATGAAAGAAATTGTTTACATATTATTTAACCCAAAGGAATAAATCTACTATATCCGATATGTATTAGTTAAATGAGTAGAGATTATCACTTTCGTTGTTTTCCAGGAGTTCATGATAAACATAATAAAAATCTTGTCGACGCCAATATTCACTTTCATCTAGTATATTTTCACCGATTATGAATACGTTTAAATCCAGGCCCTATGTGTACATGACCTTATATCCAATCACAGAATGAGAAAGCTTTAAATGTTTTGCCTTTCTATAATTAGGCTAAAAGGATAAAAGAAAAATCAAAATATAATTTGACTGCTTTTGTTAAACTTAAAAAATATACTAAATATCTGTATTGATTATGTTCTTAGGTAATATACGTCAACACTGCTATATGCTTGTTGTTTACGAAAATAACGGCATAAGTTTGTCGTGTCAAGATTCACACCAAAGATGCCAACGAGCCAGCGGAGGCATTGCCAGGATGGACACAAATCACGAACTGTATGACTTTTCCAATATCCTAGCAAATTATATTCCAAATGAATTTCAAAAACGTTATTCCTACAAAACAATAGCTGAGGATATATGGGTACACAACGCAGTCTTGAAGAACACATGCGCTAGCGTTCAGTCGTTGAATGCATATGACAGTAATATACAGGCATCCGGTTGTCGATCAATCGATCACGTGAACTCCATTATCTGCGAAAATGCACGTAAGTAATTGGGTACATGCCATATAGATTTTCGCTCGGATTTAGCCACTATTTCGTTTA